AATTTTTTCAAATTGTGGTAAAATACACAAAGCATAGTTCACCATCTTAACCATTTTTAAGTGTATATATAGTTCAGTTGTGTTAAGCATATCCACGCTGTTGTGCAACCAATTTCAGAACTTTTTCATCTTGCAAAACTGAAACTCTTCACCCATTAAACAACTCCTCCCTGCTCTCCCCTCCCTGCTCAGCCCCTGGCAACCACCATTCTACTTTCTGTTTCTATGAATTTTTACTACTCTAGATACCCCATATAAGTGGAATCATACAGTATTTGTATTTTTGTGACTGGCTTATTTCATTTAGCATAATGTCTTCAAGCATGTGTCAGAATTTCCTTCAAGTCTGGGTAATTTTTAAAAATTTAAAGTTACTTTTAATTTTTATTGTAGTTCTCCTGTTCTGTTTGTCCTTATGAGTTTTCCTGTATTCCTTCAACCATTATTTTAGTGGAACTGTAGGAAGCAGAGATAAATGTGTGTGTTCGACCTGGTCCTTAATTGAAAACACATATTCTATTTATGAAATGTGATGTTTAAGGACATATTCTTGGTTGTTTTTCAGAATCTCTTTAACTTTGCAAGACCCTTTAAAGGAGAAGAGAATAATGAATTTGCATTTAGCCAAAGAAAAACTTATGTTTTGATATGAAGCAAAAATGTTACTTCAAGCAGCTTCTTTTTTCAGCATGAGTATAAGCTCTTCCCTGGAGAATCTAATGTGGTGGATCTCAAAGTGTGGTTCCCAAACCCATGGCATAAGCATCAAAAGAAATGCAGATTCTTGGGCCCTACCTCAGACCTAGTGAATCTGACAGTCTGGGGATGAAGCCCAGCAGCTATGTTTTAACCTGCCCTCCAGGTGATTCAGATATTTGCTAAAATTTAAGAACCACTAGTATTCTAACCTTTTGCAAAGCTGCACCTAGAGATTAAACATTCTACTTAGTCCATATGTTTATAGGATTTTAAGGCTATGAGGTCACCAACTTTCAGCAGACATGTTATGAAGTACCTGTACTACATACAGTCCCGATATTTGGGACTTTTCTTTCTGCTAAAGAGACAGGCCTTGACATGTATTTATACTACCTGACCACTTCCTTAACCTGCACCCCACTGGCCACACTGACTGAACTACTTCAGTTAGTGCCCAGCATTGGATGATCAAGACCAACTAATTGGATTCTCTTTTTTTGAGGATATGAATTAGACACACCAAAACCGTAGTCAATGCAGGAATGCTGAAGGTATATAAAACTGAGATTCATGGCCACATTGGGCCTTGTGCAAGCACAGCCCCTATATCTTTTCAGTTGCCTATTTTTTTTTTCTCTTGAGTAGATATATATTTCTTGCACTGGAGAGATTTGATCAGAATACATTTTAACTATTATAGAAAATGCTGCATGATTGATAGGTCATCGTTATTATTATCCATTTTAAAGCTTGCCCAAACCATTGGCTTGTCCTTGCTGTGGTCTGGTTTTGGTAGTTGCATGTAAGTTAATTGATATCTCTGTCCAATATCTGTTTAATTTCACTGTCTGAAAACAAATTTGGTAGTTCTCTTATTTTGTTTCATTACTGAGCTCTTGAAGTTCTTTTGCTACTGCTTCCAATCTGATACTGTGAGAAACTGCACAAATTGCTTTGTAAAACAGTAACCAAAGAATTAATATCAGTGATTTTTTTAAAAGAATTCAAGATAAATAGTCCCCATAAGCCACTGTCATTGCACAAAGGAAATATTCTTCAAACAAAAGCAATGAAAATCATACAATATTACCAAAAAGTGTATGTGGTAGTGAATAAAAGCCAGAATTCGATCTGAGAAGTGAATGTTTATTCTGAGAATAATACTAATATAAAGGGATATTAGGATCAAACTTTACTTTTTCAGGTCATGATTATTGATTTAAGAATTGATGCAAATAAAAATTATCAGAGAGTTGTTTGCAAAGATATTTTAAATCCAACATATCTTCTTTTAATATTATAAAGTTGTAAATCTCTCAGAATGGGAGAGACCACATAGGTTATCTAATCCAATTATACATTTCACGCTTGAATCACTTCTATACTCCTAAAGAAATGACAGTCACACAACTCTGGCATTGCAGTTGGTGACAGAACTCTATTTACCAAGACTCATATAGTAAACTGTAAAAATAATTGTAAAAAAATTGTAGACATTTGCAGAATAAGCCCCTTTCAAAGTCAAGGACTGCTACTTTAAAAGCACGCAATTGTAATTCTATTTCTCTTTATACTGAAGTATTATAATTTTTGTAGATATAATTCAAAATGAAAGCATAGGAAAGTTTTAAAATAAACAATGAGCCTAATCATGCGAAGCTCATTTTGCTTTAGTACCATCTGTCCTGACTTCAGTTTTCATCCAGAAATAAATGAATAAAAAGAGATATGTGCTTTTGGAAACACAAAATGTAGGATGATACTTTAAAATATGGCTTTTATTAATATTTGGGAAAGTAGTGCTTTTTTCTTCTGTTATTTCTGTTAAAAGGTGTTAAACATTGTGGCAGCAGTGACTGATAATTGTTCTCAGACTTGGTTCACCTTAATCCCCAAATGTTTGCTTTGGCACATGACTACTCAAAATAAATACTACATTCCCAAACTTACCTTATAGCTGTGCGTTTCAGTTACCATTGCTGTGTAACAAATTAACCCAAAACTTAGAGGTGATAAAACAACCTTTTTATTATGCTCACAGATTCTCTGGATCAGGACTTCAGACAGGGCATCCATCACAGGGCTGGTTTCTTCTGTCAAGCTGGCTTGACTTCTATCACACTCTTTTGGTCAAAGTCGTCACAGCCCATTTAGATTCAAGAGGAGAAAGACTTCAACTCCAGATGGGGGTATAGTAAGGTCACACTGTAGAAGAGCACATAGGATAGGAAATATTGTTTCAATCATTTTTGGAAAATGCATCTGCTACACCATGGATGTGGTCATGTTGACTAAGTTCTGACCAAGAGGACAGAAGAGGAATTGGTGTGTTTCACCACCTGTAAGTGTCCTTATAGGGTATGGAGTTGGGTGGGGTGGGGAGGTACAGAAGAGAGGTCTCTTTTCTATTTTCCTCTTAGCTGAAATATGGATGAGATGACTGGCAGTGGAGCAGCCATTTTGGACCATAAACCAGGATTACAGAGAAATGAGCTAGCTGGCAGGATCCTGGGTCCCTGCTGATCATGGTGCACCACACTAACCCTAAACTGCCTACACTTATGTTACAGAGCAATAAAATTCTATCTTGTTTAAGCTACTATTATTTTGCATTTTCTGCCACATGCAAAAATATTAATCAATTAATACAAACATCATCATAAGTGAACCAATGATAAAAATGCATCTTAGAATACTGAATCAGTAAAAATAATAAAGCTTATATTGTAGAGAGATTAACTAATGTTGTGCTCTAAGCAGTGACATGTGAGAATCACCGTTATTTTATAAAAATTTACTTCTTAAAATGCTTGATATTTACAATTAGAAGCACTTTACTGTATTTAAAAACAACATAACATTATTATTGAGGTTGATAAGAAATGGAAACAGAAATATTCACTCATGGAGTGGATACAAGATTGATCACAAAGAGTTAACATCAAGATGCATTTTTATGAAAGGGACAAGTTTGTTACACCTCTGATTTCTAGTCTTTGAGTTTTCTAACACACGTATGTACTCTTGTGAAGGTGGAAACATAAATCGAAATAACTAAGTGAGATTGTTCTTGAACTATTTCATTCACAATGATATGGTCATTGTAGAAAATGAAGTATGTGTTTTTAAATAGCATTTAATTGGCAAAAGACATTTTTCTCTACTTTAAAATTATAAACATTTGCAGAATAAGCCTTATTTCAAAGTCAAGGACTTCTACTTTAAAAAAGACATTTGTAACTCTATTTCTCTTTATATTGAAGTATTCCAGTTTTTGGAGATATAATTCAAAATCACACAAGGCATAAATCACACCAAGTTTTAAAATAAACAACAGAAGCATAATCAGGCAAAGCTCTTTTTGCTTTAGGACCGTCTGACCTGACTACAACATTTTATCCAAATTGCTGCACTGTCCTGTTTGAAGGGCACCAACTAACTTTGATAAGTGTCTCACAACAAACGGTGCTTTAGTCTCAATAAACACTAGTAATTACGTCAAGCGCACAATGGAATAGTCAAAACATAATAAACAGGATAGAAGAGGAAAGGATGGATAAAATTTGGTGAAAGAAAAAAAAAAAAAAAAGAGTAACAAAGACGGGGTGGTACCTCCGTGTCCAAAAGAGAACCAGTACCACAATATGACTTTAAACAAAAGACATTAGCAACACTTGTCAATGCAACTAGATTGTAGGGGGGAAATAAAATGCCACTACTGAGGTGCAGGCTGGAGTTTCAGAACAAATCGCGTGGCACCAGCTCTGCGTGGGTTCACCGTGGTGGATGAGGTGTGGGAATCTGGACAAGTGGCCTGCCGGATCCGGCAGCAGCGGACAGGTAGGCGGGGAGGCGGCCTCGCGGGGTACCCACGCCCCGGGCGCGTGCCGGAGGAGCGCTCCCTGCACGCTGGCCAGCTCTCGCCTGCGTCCTCCGCCCCTGCGGCGGGTGCGCGGCGCCCTCCGGCGGATGTTGCCATGGTTTCCTGGGGTCACGTGGGCGCGCGCCGCGGCGGGGCGGGGGCGG